TTTTTTNTTTTTTTTTTTGGGGCCTTTTGTGCTCATTCCATAATCCTTCTTTCATGGGGTTGTAATTTTTCTGTGGTCCCGGGGTTGAATTCGACGACTACATTGTTGTTCATGCCTTTACTCTTGCATAGCTAGAATGTGCACTGTTCGCAACCACGCTCACCCATTGCTTACAAGATACTCTGGTCGGTCCCGGGGCAGCTAAATGATTGAGCCAAAAGTTCTGGCTCATCTTGATAATCTAATTCACGAGTATGGTTAGCAAAATAACTCGTTAGCGGAGGCTTATTGTTGTTGCTCTTTTTTAACATATTAGCAAGGTCAATTCGATGTCCGCAGATATCGTAAGAATTTCGGTGTAGCCCACCTCCTCGACCCTACTGCTGCATGTGGTCATGTTCTTGTCTTCATATGTGCTTCGAAGCTTTGGGAGCATTCAATACCATTGTTAGGGTAAGGAGACAGAAACACGTGTGAATGTTCATATTTAAATCTTGATGTTTCGAGGAGGCAATATTGAAGCCAAGCCAAGCAAATCACCTCGACTTTAAGCCAACAGCAGAGTACCTCATGTTGTAGTAGTAGTAGTAATTATAAATCATATCAATATCAAGAAACTTTACAAGTATTCTCATTTGAGAGATACGAATCCTGAAACTTCAATACTTTTCCGAGGTTAATCGATCCTCTGACTTCGTAAGAAGAAAAATTAACACTGAGTTGCATTTAACCGCGTCTTAATCGGGAGTCTTGGTGAACCCGTGACTCCGTAAAACTTGTTCCTGCGTCAAAAATACAGCTTCTGAATAAAACTATCTCCACGGTGAAAAATACGGAAATCACAGAAACACCTATCCCAATCAGGTCCCTAAGAGTTCCAATCAATCATGGAAAATATCATGCCTATCCATGGCTTGGGCACTAGGTTAAAACGTCTATATAATGAATATTCGAGTGAGAATGGCTCTAACAGTTTGAAAGTGGCGGTACGCATACTGGTCACATAGCACATTAACTTTTCAAAAAATTTGCTCGAAGCTTTTCGCGATACACTCGGTCGTCATGACGATTCGAGAATATTGCAGCAAGAACAACAAACTAGAACACCGTATCCCTTACATCCTTCTAGAAGGCGATACTCGGCTCAAAGAATAAACGAATATAAGAATTATTGAACGCACTGACTGAGACCGGGGAACGCGGCAATACCAAAGTGCTGCCAAGTCCGCTTTTGTATCCAGCACAAACCTGCTATATGATCAAGGCCAAGTCATCGAAGAACTCGTTGAACCATGATCGTATTCGTTCTGATGTTTTTCTTGAAAGCGATAATGCAAGATCGCCATCTCATTTTATGAGCATTGTGCAACTGCCAATCAAGGGCTGCATAGAACTGAAATGAAGTCAATATGTTCAAACAAGCAAATATCTTGGAAATTCCATGAGATAACGATTGAGGCTCTGGTCCGGATGTTTGTCATTAAGCTCCCTCTGATTATTCAGGTAAAATATATCGGAACGCAATTGTACAAACAGTTGAGGAGGTATTTCTATAGATCGAGTGGCAATCCTCGGACAAAACCGACTGAATCGCGTACATCATGCCATCTTGTATATTCTATTTCCCTATAATTAACATTTCTTCCTACTTTGCTAGACACAGTGCTACTCGTACACTTTCTTTCTGTCGTGACAGCAGCTTCGGCTCTTACGATCCAACCATTTCCAGTCACATTCACAAATTGCAAGAGGATGAGCTACTGATATCCTTAGACAATATTCTGATCGTCATGTATAATCGCAATGGTAGCATAGCATTGACATGATGGTCAAAAGTACTGGAGTTTGAATCTCGAGTAGAAAATTCAATATCAGATATCATGATATTTACAAGAGCGTGGAGCTGCATGTCATAGACGAAATATGGGCTATCACGTGGAGAATCATTTGTTCTTCGGCCATATAATCTTTTCTCTAACATTTTCTAATTATTCGCAAATCCACCACGTATCGTGACTGTAGTGATTCGTTATTCGCTGATATTTCTTTTCGACAACGGATTAGTTATTCTTTCGTGCTCTAGTGCAGAGAATTGAAATTTTCGCTTCTTGACACGATACTTTCTCATGTATCATACTATGGTATATATATATATTTCTACGTCGATAAGAAAGCATAGGTTATTGGATGAAAGGATTAGACCTGTCCATTCTCAGCGGCCTTGCGACCACAGGCTGATTACTTCAAAGGACTTCAAATGTGAGGATTGGACAACTCAAGCATCATATATGCTTTAATGCACGGTCAGACAGCATAAATACATTCATGTATATCTGCATGCAAATCCCACACGAGTCTTTAGTTATTTGAGACATCCATTTCCAAAGTCACATGATTGATTTCCTTTGACCAATTGATCGCGTATATCTCAATTGGGGTTCCAACCCTCGATCACGAGAAAATCAATTATATGGACTAATTGCAACATGTACAATCACGTGTGCCTCACAGATTGGAATCAGGAACATATCATGAAAAAGATGATGCCGAGGTTCCGGAAGGATTCATAAGGCTGGATCAAGCGTCATCTTCTTTATGTTCTTGTTCTTACACGTCTTAATGGATGTAGCTCTTCGCTACATCGAGTGATCTCCCATGAGGCTGGCAAGAGCCAACAACAAACCACTCAGCGATGTCAGACCGAAATTCAATCTTTCATGCGGGCATGAGTACTTTCTTTTTTCTTTTTTTCTTTTTTCCCTTTTTTGAAGAAGTTTATTCCTCTAGGCTGACACCGAACCTGGTATCCATCGGTATATGTGCCCCATAACAAAAAAACGGTGACGATCCTTCAAGCTTATCCATTATATTACGGGGTTGACCAGTTGCGGCTCTTTGGCTCCGCCACCCCCAATCCTTCGAGAACGGGCCAAAAGAACGATCTTCTCCTTTCTATTTTTGGGCCTCTTCTCCAGGAGCCGAACAACGATGGTGATAATAATAGAAAGAATAGCAGAAAAAGTCGAATCCAGCCGTGATAGGTGAATAAGATTTTCATTTTATTCCATCCCCTTGTCGTTCCTCGCATCGCAACTTAAGGCGTCGCGTGATTGATCTCAAGTGGTCAGCATCGGTTCCTCCCGTTTGCAGGTGCGGCAGAACGGGAAAAATGGTTTCAAAAGTCTTACACGATGAATGGAGAGCGGGAAGACAAATGACGAGCGTCCAAGATGATGCCTTCTTTGGTCCCGCCGAGCTGTCTCTCTCGAGCAAGACCCGGCTCCTCATCGATGCTATTTCTGGACCTGGCACATGAGCTTTGGAGCTCGTCATCGTACTCGTACCGCAACGACGATGAGCCCTCGGTACCGAAGGGGGTATGTGTAAAGTGCCAATCGTGA